GTTTTGCTTTTACTGAACCACATTGCTGTAAAAGCTCGTTACTGACCTTGCTGCCCTACACCTATTCAAACGCTTTTAGTCTACAAGAAGGCATTCTTCCACCCAAAATGAATGACACTAAACAAATCATATCACACATTTATAGTGCTGAAATTCGGCTCAGAAAACTTGCATAGCCACTAGACATTTTTGTAAACTTTACAGCACAGCATCAGGCACATTAGCCACAAGCTAATAAACTATATAATAATTAACATCAACAACAGTTGTTTTACATTTGCATTTAATGGTGAGCACTTTTGCTTTGAGCGAATGATTCTTCCTCTGTCGTGATCACTTGGGGTTAAAGAGCATGGCTCCGTTCGATACAGAATGCTGGTTGACTTTCTGAATACCGAACGGTATACAATGTATGTCGCCTACTGTTTTTAAACAAAAGGAAGTGGAACATTATTCCACAATAAACATTTCACACAGTAGTATATGCTACATTTGCACATCCCTCATCACTATAACATGTTAGTTGCAGCCAGCTTGGTTGAGGAAAATTTTTTATTTCAATTCTCTAATTCTCTATATTCAAATTCAAATCGCAAGTGCTTAGCATCCCATTCGCAACCTTTAATTTATAGTTTACCCAAAGCTGAAAATGTTGCTGAAAATTTACTCACACTCAGGTCACCCAAGATATTTGTTTCGATTTGGAGGAATGTAGCATTGCATCACTTGCTCTGCAGTGAATGGGTGCCGTCAGAATGAGAGTCCAAACAGCTGATAAAAACATCACAATAATCCACAAGTAATCCACACCACTCACATGTTTTTATCAGCTGTTTGGACTCTCATTCTAACGGCACCCATTCACTGCAGAGCATCCATTGCTGAGACACTGATGCAATGCTACATTTCTGATGAAGAATTTATTTCTGAAATCACAAACAACCCTGGCATCTAGTTATCAGCTTAGAAATAAAGAAGGTGATTTTTTTGTGCTTTGTTAGGTCATCCTGCCATGATGAATACAGAAGTTTCACATACTGTGCAGAGTATTACTGCAGAAATAGTAAAGTAGTGTTCTGTATGCTATCCAAAAATAGCCCATGCATGATCCTGAGGTATGATGAGACAGAAAGCTACATGACATGGCTTCAGCCACTGCACCCAATTCCATTTTGATTTTCAAATGCAATTTTATATTAAGGACAAATGGTCCGCACTGTTACTTGCTGGTAGAACATTGGATCCATTTGTTCAGACTACAGTACAAACAACTAAATGCATTTAAGTTGGATAAGACATAAAAGTGGATTTTCATCAGATTTTTAACAAAACTGTTCTTTTCAGTCAAAGGAGAGACACACATCCACAGTCTAATCATATTTCAAAGGACACCACTTGTCAATGTCAAACACTGATTAATTAATCTATTTACACAAAGAGAAAAACACCAAACAGAAGAAGCGGACAAATCTTAAATCTTAACTGAGCGTAATTAACAACATTAATACAGTTTTTCACTTTGAACTTGTAAATATAAGGAGACTGATCTGAATCAGAATCAGAATAGTTTTGTTGTGATAACCAACCACGTAGGCTTTATTTGTTTTTCGTAGTTCTATTTTGTACCCTATTTGCAGTAAGTGACATGAAATGCTACTAAAGTAGATCATAATATTTTGTAATTTGATTTACTCTGTAAAGCCAAAACACGCAGCACAATACAGAAGAGCTTCTTAAAGCACATACGTGTGCGTGTGTGTGTGTGTGTGTGTGTGTGTGTGTGTGTGTGTGATAGTAAGCTAGCAGTGGTGAATGTGTATCTCTTTGAAATAGTTGCTTTTTATTATTGTAAGTAGTGTATTAGTACTGTCCACATCGACTTTCTGAGAGCTTTTCACCAAAAAAAGTCTGCTGGTGGAGCTACCAGTTTTCCAGTGTCATGAAATCAATAAAAGCCATTTTAAAGATCTTCAAGGCCCAAGGTGAACCTAACTGGTTGAATGAATGAATGAATGAATGAATGAATGAAATGGTGATGATGATCAATCAATCATTCAGACACAGCTGTCACATTTACAGGTAAGGAACAGTTAGATGTAATTAATTTAGATGTCACAAAATATGTTATTTCTTAAAGTGTTAATGAGCTCTTTTTTCTTTTTGCTTTGTATATTATGTCAGTATGATTTTTTCAAATTATTTTATGCTGCATTTATTTGATCAAGTAGAAATATTGTGAAATATTATTACAATTTAAAATAACGGTTTTCCGTCTGAATATATTGTAAAATGTAATTTATCCCTGTGCTGAAACATTTATTGTTATTATCAATGTTAAAAACAGTTTGTGGAACCGTGATACTTTTTTTTAAACAAATTTAAAAGAACAGCAGAATGCTGTCACTTTCGATCAATGTATTGCATCCTTGCTGAGTAAAAGTATTAATTTATTTAAAAAATAGAAACTTATTGATTGTGTTAATTGAACTTTTAGAAACAGGCCTAACCTGTAAGGGGGGGAAAAAAGTATTCTACATGTCAGGGGATAAACAGGCATAATTAATTAAAATTATTCCTCTATTATCAGACTGTGCTGAGTTTCTTTAAGCTGCAGAATAAATTCCTGTTCCTGTCATTCCAGTTCAAAATCCAATTCTGTTTCCTGTGGGGCTTAGCCAAGTCATTTCAAACTCATGAACCGAAGGTAATTCTATTCTTAATCTTCTGCTCATCCCTGCATGTGTATCTCTTATATTGGTGTTGACTTGCTCAAGTGTTCTGGCCTTTGTTGTCTTCAGTGCTGTGATAAACTAAGAGGTGTTGTGTGTGACCAAGAGCTGGTGCAAAGCCCAAGATCACAGTTAGATGTAATGTCTATTCATGCACTTTTAGAGCGATAATAGAATGAACTGATCACATTCATTCTTTTTACAGTACATTTACAGTACATTCATTTTGCTATTACAGCATTAAGTATAGAATAAGACATCAATGCACACTAAAGCAAAAGCTAGGTCTTACATAAGTCACTTGGCACAGACTAATTAGGACACACAGTGAACACTAAAATATAAACATCTGAGTCATAATCACAGATTGGGCTCATTCCTTGCATCTTCGCCGCACTGCTGTTCTATTCGCTCTCTTCAGTAGCTATAATAGCATCTGTCCCTTTTGGTATTTTCCATGGATGGTTCACATACAGTAGACAAATACAAATACAATACACATAATACAAAAGCACATCTCAGGCAAACATTACCATCGTCCGTCTTGAGAAAAGATAAACACGGCCCATTTGGTGAGCGCAGCTTGCTGCCTGATCTGAGAAAAACGCTTTGGCTTAAACATCATTCAACGGACTACGATTCAAATATCAGCGAGATTAAAATGTTTAATATTGAGTCCTTCACCAATTAGCCCACAGATTGTCCTGTTGAATGTTTAGGCTACAGGTGGACTTTAAATGTGTGACAGTTTTGGCATGAATTCTCAGGAAAAAAGGTACAAAAGCTGTCACTGGGGCGTTTTTCAAAAGGGAGTAATTTGTACCAATTTGGTACTAATATGTACACTTTAGGTGCTAAAGTACCTAAACCCTAACCCTAATTAAGTCGAAAAGTTGAAGTTTAATGCAGATTTGGCTATATGCAGTAGAATCTCTGTAATCTAATAACTTACTATACAATATTTCTTTATAAATGACTTCAGCCTCTTTTAACGTCGCTCGTTTACACTTTGTGGGAAACAAAATATGGAATTTTTAGTCCAAAATGTTATTCTTGTAAAAAAAAAAAGCAGTTGATTCTACGGTGGCCGAGAGAGCTCAGTGTGCCGCACAAAAGCAGTGTTAAGTCGCTGGGGTATATTTGTAGCAATAGCCAACAATACATTATAATATGGGTCAAAATTATACATTTTTCTTTTATGATAAAAATCATTAGGATATTAAGTAAAGATCATGTTCCATGAAGATATTTTGTAAATTTCCTACCGTAAATATATCAAAACTTAATTTTTGATTAGTAATATGCATTGCTAAGAACTTAATTTGGACAACTTTAAAGATGATTTTCTTAATATTTAGATTTGTTTGCACCCTCAGATTCCAGATTTTCAAATAGTTTCAAATATTGTCCTATCCTAACAAACCATACATCAATGGAAAGCCTATTTATTCAGCCTTATGGTTTCGTGGTCCAGGGTCACATATTTATCAATGGTATTGTGTTTATACAAATAATAATAAATACACCCACAAAACATGGTTAATTTTCATGTTGTTGGGGTAATTTTGTTGTGGTCTGTGCTACTTGCACGTTTCTCTAGTTGGTTGTGTTGTAAGTATTTGCAGAGCATGTGCTGTCAAACTGATGAAGATGTTTTGTTAATTTGCTGGTGCTTTTTCTATTTGCATGTGTTTTCTGAAGTCGCAGCGTGTTGAGTTCTCTCGGCCACCGAATGATTCAAAGAACCATCTCTTTCTTACCTTTTTATAATCTGAAGAACCTTCTTTCGCCACAAAGAAGCTTTTGTGAAACAGGTTCTTTATGGAACCATTTAGACAAAAAAGGTTCTTCTATGGCATCGTGAAGCACCTTTATTTTTAAGAGTGTAGGACTAACTTGATCTAATCGTCCAGTTGATTAATTTAAAGATCCGTGGAGTCATTTGTAGGCATGAATAATCCATCTATTGGTCCCAGGCTAGGTTTTTACCCACCCTGATGGGACTTATTTTCTCTGCCTCCTCCATCTGAAACACTTTTTGCTTCGTGGCACCTCTTAGCTTTCTTAGCTTTTTATAATCTGAAGAACCTTCTTTCGCCACAAAGAAGCTTTTGTGAAACAGGTTCTTTATGGAACCATTTAGACAAAAAAGGTTCTTCTATGGCATCGTGAAGCACCTTTATTTTTAAGAGTGTAGGACTAACTTGATCTAATCGTCCAGTTGATTAATTTAAAGATCCGTGGAGTCATTTGTAGGCATGAATAATCCATCTATTGGTCCCAGGCTAGGTTTTTACCCACCCTGATGGGACTTATTTTCTCTGCCTCCTCCATCTGAAACACTTTTTGCTTCGTGGCACCTTTTATCCCAGATCCTGCGCTGGATCCAGTGTCATTTGAGCAGACCGAGTTATTACAAAGCCGACCGGTTCTCCTGTGCTCCAACTCCAGACAAGTCCTGGTGTCCTTCACATCGCCGTCGGTGTAAACCCGGTTCCTTCCGCTGAATGCCAAGGGGTTGGAATTGACCACAGCATCCCTCACATCTCCTCTGGATTTCCGTCGCAGTCTGCTCCTCTCCTTCATCGTGTCACAGCAGCACGAATGCGTTCGGCACACCGACTGAAACCCCCTCTTGAAGTTTTCATTGTAGTATCCGTAAATAATAGGGTTGACGCTCGAGTTGGAAAACGCCAGCCAGTGAGCGAATGGGAAGACATAGCCGCTCAACAGATCCAGCACGTCTTCATTCAGACCTCCGTAATCGGTGAGGAGCATCAGAGTCCAGAGAGGCAGCCAGGAAAGCGTGAATAAAAGCGCCACCACACTCAACATCTTAATCACTTTGATCTTCTTTTGGGAAATGAGTGGCCTTCCTTCATGCTGGGCTCCGTGAGACTGTCCTATATTCTTATTTAAATATATTTCTTATTATAAAATTTTAAGACTATTTGCTACTCATATATAGATAGAACACTGATAATATAAGAATCATTATTAATAATGAAGTACTGACAATAATTGCACCAAATCAGCATATTAGAATGATTTCTGAAGATCATGTGACACTGAAGAATGGAGTAATAATGATGAAAATACAGCTGCGCATCACAGAAATAAATTACAGTTTAACAGATATTCACTTAGAAAATATTTATTTT